AATAAACCAGCCCATAGCAAATACTATTTGCTGTATGGTTTTCTTGTTAATGCTTTTCTGATATTATTCTTTTTTAAAAGTAGTCTTAGATTACAGGAAGCATCACTCAGCCTCTTTGATGATTGATTGGTTCAAATCAGCATTTGCCAATTTCCATTTTAAAGAGGGTGGATTAAGTGCAAGAGAAAATGAGTCAAAGACCTCTCTTTAGAGAAGAATACACATAATAGGAATATAAATATTAACTATAATTTTGAAGATTAAGTACACGACATGGATGAGGGCTGTAATCAGCTCCAACAGAACTGGAAAGAATAGGCAGGTGTGGGTCCAGGCAATTGTCATGAGGAGGGTGGCAATGTACCCAGTCTTAAATTAAGCTTGCAAAGCCTCAAGGGTTTTGTATTGAAGTTCTTCAAAATGGAAAAACAAGATTTTGAATATTTTATTTTAGGAACCAAATACGATGTCCTGCCATTGTAAACAACAAACACACTCTGCTTCATTACAGTTCACATAGCAGACAGCATGAACAGTAAGTGAAAACCAGGTGGTGAATGCCAGCAAGCATTTTCACTCTCTGACTTCATGCATTTCTAAAACATACCTCCCCACCCCACCATCTATGCTGGTTAAGATTAATAAATTCTCCCCAGGCAAACTACTTAGGGTATAGCTCAGCTCCCCTACTTACAAACTCCGTAACTAGGCTAGTTAAGCTGTTTATAACTCAGTTTCTCCACCTATAAAGATTAAGAACTCTACCCATCTCCTGTGGTTCTGATGAGAATGAGCTGTGTTACAAGTAAAACCACTTGGAATGGAAAAGCTCCTGCATGCAGGGAGTTCGCAGGAAGCATAGCTGCTCTGTTGAGAAGTGCTCACTCCAAGTTCACTTCTCACCTGCTATCCCAATTCATGAGAAAAAGCAACTCCCATCCTGTTCTACTTTTATAAGGCATATTTTGAAGCTATTCATTTCTAGAAAAATGAACTTAAGAAGGCACTAAATTTGATATCTAGAGAAAACATTGGTAACAAGAAAACAGCTTATTTCAAAAGGTCCTAGTTAGCAAGTAGGAATCATATTATATTGTGACCAGTAAAAATGTTGCCAAAGTTAATCAACAGTGAAGCTCACATTCTCTTCCCTTTTTCTTTTGTTCCTTATATTTTTACAGTCAGTTATTCCATTTTCTGAACTGGATATCAGACTTTGGAAAACCTACTTTGAGTCACACACTATTCACAACTGACTGAGGCAATAGTATTGTTTTCATTTAAAACAGTTCTTTAAAAAAAAAAGAGAGAGAGAGAGAGAGAGAACTGACCAAACGTTACTGCCTGTTCTTTCCACAGTGTTGCAATCCCTTCGCAGTAAAGGTCTCTTCCATGAAGAGAATTTGGCTGGTTACACCAAAGTAACAACGAAAATGATACAGGTTGTAGTTTCCAATAAGAATGACAGCAGATTAATGCACTAGAAAATTCCCTTTTTTTTTTTTTTTTGTTTGTTTGTGGTCTTTTTGAGACAGGGTCTCCCTGTAGCCCCAGCTGTCCTGGAACTCACTACGTAGACCAAGCTGGCCTTGAACTCACAGAAATCCGCCTGCCTCTGCCTCCCCAGTGCTGGGATTAAAGACATGCGCCACCACGCCCAGCATGCAGCTCAGACTGCACCAATGCCTCACCTGATGTGAGCATTAAAGACCCCTGGAACGGAGTCAGTTGGCCACTTGCAAGGTAGTAAATAAGCAAAGACAAGTTAGCTTCCCAACTTCTTAATCTGTAAATATAATTAACTCGCCATTTTAAAGATTAGCTTAGTATTTGAGAAACACCTACAACAGTACTGAGCATACAGAGCTATGTAAGTGTTTGTTAATAACACAACATTGCAATACTTTTGGTATTCAACGTGGTTTCTATTTACAGATAAAATGACAGTCTTAGTTTTTGGTGTAGACACTCACAGCATAACTTGGTAAAACAAGGACTCGGAATGATCTTTAACACTTGATGCTGGAATAACTAGCCAAAATGACATTATAATTGCATTATTTATTTGATGTCTAGACCACAAATAAAAATGTATTTAGACTTGTTTTCGAAATGCAAGAATATGCATTTTTGCTATTTTCTAGAAATCCAAAAATTCCTAGTTTAAAAGTTTAAAAGAATGTCTATTTAGCTATTTTAGGAACTAAAAATTCAAATAGCAAAGGTCTAACAATTTTCATTCACTACAAATACAACAGATATAAGCATCTTTGTATATGAGGGGAAAGATCCTGAAAAAGAAAAAAAATCCAAACGTAAAAATAGTCCAACTCCTCTACAAACAGGGTCAGAAACAAAGAGCTGAGTTGCTAAGCTTCATTCATTTTTAATAATGTTTGCATTGGAACTTCCTCCAGCCGAGGATGAAAACTACCAAACCTAATCACCCTCTTCCAGTTCCAGACTAACGCGCCGTCTCACATGAACTGTAATGTGTTCAGTCAGAATGTGTTCAGCGTCTATTACAGGCCTGCCTTTAGATACCAATCGGAACATGTATAAGAGTTGAGATTTCATGGGACTGGAGAGAGACAGTTTAGGGGGTAGAGCACTGGCTGCTCTTGCAGGGGACCCAGGTTTAATTCCCAGCACCCAGATGGCAGCTAACAACTCTCCATAACTCCAGTTCCAAGGGATCCGACACCCTCTTCTGACCTGCACTGCACAACATACATACACAACAATACACTCATACACACAAAATAAATAATAGTAAGAATAATAATAATAAAGAGTTGAGATTTCAAATGCTCATCTGCAGGAGGAAAGACACACATCACAGCTACCCAAGTCCAGGTCAGGTTCTTCACATTGGAACACCACAATGACTTTTACAAGGGAATTCATGAATTATTCTATGGTGGCAATTTTATTCCAAAAACCAGCTGTGATTATCATAATGGCTGGAGAACTTCCCTGATCCCTCTGATTCAAGTAGATACTGATCAGCTCTGTGCATCAGTTTTCCCAAAACAATTCCAATTTCAATGATTTATTAAAGCACTTGGAAAAACAGGCTGACAACGGAAACTGATCTGTCGTTATTTCATTATTTTGTACTATCATATTACAGTTATACTATCTCATAAGTATTCTCTATGCTTTCACACTTTCTTTGATGTAGGAGAAGTTTCTCAAAAGAGAGGAACAACAATGATCCTCCATTATTTTATTATAAATATAAGGAAAATGGATTGAAAAACAAAAAGGGGCAGCTGGAAAATCAAATCCTTTCTTAGTTAACATTTTAAGTTTTGTCTCGAGTACCAAACCCTGAGTCTGAGTTCCAAGCTATTGCCGCAAGAAAACCAGTTAAACTCTGCCCTTGAACCTGGAGAAGTATGTCAGGTGTGATCTGTGGGAGGTGAGAACTGAGCCATAGAAAGAAACAGATGTGCCATTACCAAGGAAATTTTTGTTTTGTTTTGTTAGGTGCTTGTTTGTTTTTGTGGTGGGGGGATAGGATCCAAGGCCTTGTGCATGCTAGGCAATCACTCTACCATTGACCTACATCCAAGCCAGGAAGTTTTTCTTTGGTTTGAGTACCAAATCTGTCCTCTATTATATGTATACTCAGTCCATCCCTTTCTGTGAGGTGTCACTGAAGATTCTTTTTTAAAACACTAGTGGTGCCAATACTGCAAATGAGGAAAACCAATTATTTCTGGTATCAGATACATTTTTTCCTTTTTAAAATATATGCGTATGTATATACATATAATCGTATAATATACATATCCGTATCTTTTCTGCTTTCTGGTAAGCGCAGAAAAAAAGAAAAAGAAAAACACAGGCGAACATCCACAACCTTGGTACCCGCAAACTCCCCCCAAGAACCTTGTCTAATTCGGCAAACATCTAGGAGTCAGGAAACACAGCAGCAAAAAAAGAAAAAAGCACAGGCGGGCTTTCCCCGGCCCCCAGAGTTCCTTCCAGTTTGCGACCACAAGTCTTCACCCAGTTCACAGGAGAAACCTGCACCAGACGACGATGCCTTCCCCTTCCGCCACCCGGCCATACCCAGGTCACCCGGCCAGGAGGCGCTGCGGGCCAGTCTCCTGGGGCCACCCGCAACCCGCCCAGCCCCCAGCCCCTGGCGGCGGAGCCCGGCCCGGCAGCCGAGCAGCGAGTTCCGCGCCGCCCGCCGGGGTTACTCGCGGTCATTCGGCTGCAGCACCTCGCCCCAGCTTCCCCACCCGCGCCCGGCCTGCAGCCGCCCCAATGAACCAGCAGCCAAGGGCAGGATGCGGCAGGAGGTGAGCCCGGAGTGGGCATCCCAGCGTCCGGCTTCTGCAGGCTCTCTCGAAGTTCAGAAGAAACACAATTCGACCCCCACCTTACGCCAGGGGCGGCGGCGCTGAGCGCAGGGGACGTGTCGGTAGGACCCTCGAGGACAAAGCCCCAGGCCCGAGCCAGCGAAGATGCCACTGATCCCGTTTGGGACACTTCTCACACGTCTTCTTTGAGAAGGAGGACGCCCCCCCCCCTCATTCCTGGGGACGGGATCCCCAAGTCAAAAACCTGCACAGACCAGTTTAATAACCGGAGTGGGGGACTCGGGAGTGGCACTCGGTGGCTCCAGCAAACCCGCAGCCACAGGGGCTTCCAGCTCTGTACTAGCAAACAAAGGGAGACGCTTCGCAGAGGACCCGTCGCTGTCCCCACCCGCGGCAGCGCCCCGAGCACGCGCGGGAATCTCGGATCCCACCGCGCCCGGATGTCCGAGACCAGGGATGCTCTCCCGGGTCCCCAGCCCCAAGTGGCTGCAGCGCTGCGCCCCGAGATATCCTACTCGAGTGCACATGGCCCCTGCCCGTTTGCATTCCTAGAGGTGGGGGTGAGGGGTTCGAGGACCAAAGTCCCCCCAAAAGACCTAGAGCTTCCCAATGCCTCCATGGACCCAAAATAAAACAGGAATGCTCAAGTCACTGGAGTCTTACCTGTTTTCCACTTTGATGTTTGCGTCTGTTTTCCCCACCCCTGGACAAACCCTTCTAGAGAAGGGGAGAGAAAGAAAGCGGGGGTGGGGGCGGGGAGTGGAGCACCCCCAGAGTGCCTGTGGTTGCGGGTCGGCGTGCCCCTGCCCTGCGCAGCTTCGGCCCGCTCGCTCGCCCTCCGAATTACTGGGGTTTTGCCGCGACTAGTTCCTTTTATAGATTCGGCTTCGCCGAGCGCCGGGGTTACTACCGGTCAAACGCTGTTCTCTCCCGCTTCCCCCGCCCTCTTCCCGGCCTCTGTTTATGTAGTTCAGTCACTCAGCAGAAAGCACGTGGAGCCGCGGCCCGCCCCTTAAACCGGCGACTCGCCTGGCAGGGGCCGCCGAGCTGGATGCGCAGGGTCTGCGGCTGGGTCCCGTCCTGGGTGAGCGGGAAACGCTGGCAGGAGCTGTGCCAGGGACTTCGCGTCCCTGGCAAGTGGAGGGAGACGGTGGAAATTGCTTCCTCTAAACTATCTCTGCCAGATCTAACAGCTAAATTGGGCAGAAACCGTGGAAGAGCTCTCTTTACCGAAACTTCACACACACACACACACACACACACACACACACACACACACACACCCCGCCTCATGTTAGTTACTCAGTCAGGGGCTGGAGAAGGGAGAGCTGAAGGCTGAACCCCTCCAGACAACAGCTATTTTCTGTGTCTTCCTTTCAAAGCCCCAGATTGAGGTGGAAGGTGGACAAGAGTGAACAGTCTGGTTTGGGTTTCTGTCTGGATCCTTGACTTGTGTTTTCAATGAAAATCCCCAGCCTACCTCCCCATGGCCCCGCAGTGATCCCTCAGCAGACAAAGGAGAATATCTTAGTGAGTTAGGAGAAGACAGAAAAGGACTGAATCCCCTTTTGCAATCGGTCAGTGTGTCAGTGTTCCTGTGATAAATGCAGGGGGCTTGTATTTTAGCTCATGTACATTTGTGAAGTGTGACTAGACTGCAGCCGTGGAAAATTATATAACCAGCCCAGACGTCCACCTTGTCTCCTGGCATTGCCTTTGGCAGTCAGATACCAGACAGCCCCAAATCAGCGAAGAGATAGAGGCAAGAGGCAAGGCAGAGGCAGCACACGTATGCCTAAGTGTGTAGGTCCCAAAATGAGCCAACAAACTGAAGGAACGGTCTCCCACCTTGATAAAGATAAATTTTTAGCATCCTTGACTAGAAGGTTCACATGTTGATGCCTCAGTCTGACCTGAGTCTGGGGAAATGGGGTGATAGAAGAGTTTCCCCCAGTCCTATTCATGTCTCAACCCAAGTTCCATCATATTCCAGAACTACAAGGCCTGAAGACAGATCACTACCAACCTGCGTGTGCACACACACACACACACACACACACACACACACACATTCTCCAGTCAGTAGGTACCTGAGGACCACAACAAAGGGTAGCCAGGGTCAAACTGGACCACATTTAGGTAAAGTTTTTCTCCTATTTCTTCCTTTATTTTCTTCCCTTTTAGTCCAGACTGGTCACCAGTTTTTGCACTGGGACTACAACCCAGGACTTCTTGCCTGGCAGATGAGCTCTTTACCATCTGAGCTACATCCCCAGTCCCATCTCATCAAGTTAAAAGGAGAGAGAATATTTTCTCTTTGCCTCAGAAGAGTTCTGAAAATGAATTTTGTTGGAACCTTTGAGTTCCTTGGAAGAAGGCACCAAAAACAGAATCTAATTATCTGACCATTAATACCATTTTCAATTTACACTTATGGTCTGTAAACTATTTCTTGTGCCAGAAACTCAAAACTCCAGGACTAACAGTTAAAAATAATAACCTCTATGACCAGGAAAATGCCTGAAGGAAGAACTGCCATTCCTAACCTGATTTGAGGAAGTGATTGCAGCTCTTTAACTCTGTCCCCTTCCCCGATTCCACCATATACTGCAGTGTTTAAAATCCAGCACACAAACATGCATATGCACACACACACACACACACATATATATATATAATGTTTTGAAGAGCATGGTTCCAAGAGCACTCTTATTAGGATAATACTTTAAGCTGCTCTAATGAGGAGTGGATGACAACTAAGTAAAGACAGGATGCTGGAGAAAGGAGATAGCCCAAGAAGAAAGGGAAGCCCCAGATAGAACAACCCTGGATTCAAATTATGTATGGTCATGACCCCAAAGCCAAACTTGATTCCAACTAAAAACTCTGTGAAGTTAAGAATCTCCTTCTCCCCCATAATGAACATATAAACACACCTCAATGTTGGGAATATGTTTAGGCATTTTGTTAATCTCAACCCTCAAACTCCTTAAGAGATCAAGCATTTCAGCCAGGTTACAGGGGAACATTAGTCCGTTGACATCAAGAGGCATAGTCTGCAAATGTAACAGCAAGTTGTGACAAAACTGCTGAGTTTCAAAAGTTTGAACTTAGATAATGCCCCTGTGAGAAAGAAGTTTCAAAGCGTGACCTCTCTGCTCCAGCCCTAGTTGGTTGGCTCCTAAGTATGTTTTCATGAGCTTTTCCACAAATCTGATTTCTGTAACAACCTCACCGAAAAAACCCAACCCTGTCTGAAATATGTGGGAAGACTTTTCTTTGTTGCTGCTGCTCTGAAGCAGCTAATTCCAGAAATGTACCCCGGGCAGCTTGAGGTTCTATTCTGAGATGACCCTGGCATCTTCTAATTACAAAACTGACCTTCAGGCAGCTGTGTCCTTACCAACCTTGCTGGAGGTCATGGAGCCACAAGAAGTTCAATTTTATCATTCCATTAAGGCTTTTAAATCAAGATTGCCTGAACAGCATGTGCTTGGAGGTTACTTTTAATACAAAGCTAGCAACCAGTCTGGACAGATGTTCATAAACACATTGTTTAAAATAGAGGCGATTTTTTAAAAAAATAGAGATGATTTTCACCACATGTATGTATTGTGCTTGGTACCCCTACTCTCTGTTCCTGGGAGCTGAAAATATAGAGCATTGAAGCAAGTCAGTGAAGAAGTTTTAAAAAACATAGACTAAAATGATTTTCCAAGCTGAATTTGTAGTGATTAAGAGACCCTTCCTACTACTTGAAGTCTTTGAAAATAAAACATAGTTCACAATTTTTTTTTAAAAAGGGCCAAGGAGATGTCTCAGTCTTTAGCGTAAGGACCTGAGTTCAGATCCCCAGCACCCATATAAAAAGCCAGATGTGGCAGTACACACCAGTAACCCCAGGATTGGAGGAGCAGAATCAAAGGATCCCTGGAACTTGCTGACCAGCCAGTCTAGCTGAGTCAGTGAGTTCCGGGTTCAGTGAGAGACCCTGTTTCAAAAACTAAGGTGGCGAGACATTAAAGAAGACATCCTACACTGGCCCTTGGCACCCACGTGAACATGAATGCACACACACACACACAAATATTTTTTCAAAAAGATAGGTAAACAATTTTAAACACAAGGAGGGATAAAAGGATGCAGCTCAAATTTGAGTCCACTCAATTCCAATACATGTGTAGGCACAGAAACAAATCCTCAAGCCATCAGTGATCAAATAATAAAGTGTAAGGAATAAACTGTGGAATAGGCCCTAAATCACCTGAATTCTGAATGCAATATAATTCCATTTAATTGGACCGATGTGATCTCTTCTGAATTAATGTGAATCCTATTAAAGCCCAAGAAAGATGCAACACTGTTACTGCTTCAGGCCTCGAGAAGGATATCTATTCAGTTTTTCATTAGAGGCAACCTCTCATATGCCACCCTTCCTACAGCCTTCCTTCAAGCTCTCCTTTCCTTATAAAGATGTAATGCTCGTGCCTTGTCTTTTATTAACTTTCCCATAGCCCATAGCTCTCAGCCTGAGTCTGTTCTGTTCAAGTCCCCCCCCCGACCCCCACGCACACACAGAGAATAAGAACGAATTGAAATTTTATTTGTTATAAAATTTTTTGTTCAGAAAATACATTGGAAAAGACCTCAAACTCAGACTGCTTTACAACTGGTAATGCCGATGACCTCCTCTAAGTCCTTAGGCTATTTGATCTCTGATATTTGACACTATTGACTACCTCTCCCTTCTTGAAACTAGTTCTCTTATATTTCATGAATCTGGTCCTCTTCTGTCTTACTCTTTAACCACGCTTTCTCCACACACTTCTTTTGGTTTCTACGTGCTCCTCTGAGCAATATTAGCCACCCGTTGGCTTCATTTGAGCCCTGTCCTGCCGGCCTTAACCCTGCTGAGATCCCTGACTTGGCTCCCTAATGCACCCTGCAGGCCTACTGGTGCCTGGAGACAGTTCACACCAGCTCAGAAGGGTCAATTGCACACATCTCTCAGCAAGTGACTTCCCTGGGGCTAGCTCGAAATCACCAGCAGTGTGAATATTTATACCTTGGAACTTATAAATCAAGGCTGACTTGCTTGTTTTTCTTTTCTTTTTCATTTCTCCTATCCTTACTTTGGTTTGTTTGGCTTTGCATTTATTTATTTATTTATTTATTTATTATTTTTATTTCAGAGAGCTACTTGTTAACATTTATCAGCACAAAATTATGAGGACATTTTACAAGATATTCATCCCAGCAAAGGGAACCCAAATTTCTCGTCTTCCTTTTAAGTCTCCCTCTTTCCTCTGCCTTTAAAAAAAATAATAATAAATCCTCCTTTAATGACGTCATTATCCAGTCACCTACTCTGGGAAATCACAGTCATTCTTAACATTTTTATCTCTGTCTCCATCTTTCGCTTCACATTTGAAAGAACACCAAGGTCAGGTCAGAGTTCCTCCCCCAAATGTTTGAAATCTTTGAGTTCTCCATCCACACTGTCTCATTCCATGCCAGATATCTGGGCTCAGTATTGCAGCGCTCTCCAAACTGCTGTTCTGTCTCTCCTTTCTCGCCTTCCTCTTTATCTTTCCTGCTGCAGTGGAATAATTCTTACTTTGGGGTGGAGGGTATGGGAAGCTAATTAAGTCAGCACAAAACAAAAATGATCATTACACCCAGCCCCAACTTCCTATGGCTATCATTTGCTTGCAAATAAAAAAATAGACTTCAAGTTCCTAGAAAGTTCCAAGACCTAGAAAGCATTTTGAAACCATGACAACTGAAGGCTTTCGAAGCTGGTTGTGTACCCCTGCTTCCTCCTCCATCCTCTTCTTTCCTTGTCTCACAGCGACCCA